CACACAGCTCTCTGGAGGGACTTTAAAAGCACCAAGGGGCTTCAATCTCTCAGAACTTTGTCAAGTAAAGATGAAGATTCTCGCCACTAAACCACAAAGTCCTTGGGGACCACAGGAGGGCAAAGCTGTGTCTGTTCTGAGGCAGCTTGTGGCATAGTGGGAGGAGAAAGGAATCTCAGATGCTTTTCATTGCAAGTGAGACCTGTTAAATCCTGCCTAAGATCACAGAGATTCTCTGAAGGTCAGAACAGCTGTTCCCTCTCATTCAATGCAAAAATTTTACAGGCTTATGCTAACATCCTTCTGTGATCAAACTCAAACATTTGTGGCACTGAGGGCATTTCCTCCCCTTTCTATTAACAGATGATGCATTCAGACATTGGGATGCCCAACCTCATCCTTCTCAAAGCCCAGAGGGGCAGCTGTGAGGACATGGTGAAAATTCATCACTTGCACTAAAAACTGTCTGGAATGATGGTATATCTGGGAATTTTCTCTTTTATTCTGCTGTGGCTCCTGCCTACAAGTCCCTCTGAAGTGTTCACCTGCATCTCTGCTCTGATGTGGTAGTTGGGGGAGGCACTTTGATCTACCCAGCCTAGGCTAACCATTCCTCATCTCTGCCCTCTGTCAGGGAGAATCACCATCCCTCCTGCTTCCTGAGGCATGTTCTCTTGTGGCAGAAGTAGAGGGCAAAATGCATAGCTACAGCTGGGTTTCTCAGGAAGCCACACAATAAAAGCAAAGCTGACGAGACAGGCAACATCAAGGACAGAACTCAGACAATTACTAACATATTCACAGGATGCCCAAAACCTGAATGTCAAAATCTGCTGTTCAATGACCTTACATTAGAAAATGCAAAGATAAGCACAATCTGATCATACCTGTCCATACAGTTCCCCCATGACCTCCTGCACTTGAGCCTGAATCACTTATTTATCCCCTGGCTTTACAACAGGTAAAGTCTGAAGTACATCTCTCTATCAAAGACAGTTGTTAGTTCAAGTAATGTTTAGCTCCTACTGTATCAGCTTCTGCTTGTTTCTGGAAGACTTCAGCTCATTCACCTGCATACATGCCAGAAAAAAATGGATCAAATGTACACAGGAATTCTACATAAGTACAAAATGATCTGTGACCTCATTTATCATAGCTCCTTATGCATTCATTTGCCCAAACCCCACTAGGGAAACCAAAAGCTGAGTGGGGAATATGCTGCAAGAAATGACACAGTGACTGTCTCTTCAGGGGAGGCTTTTCTGCCTCAGTCTCTTCTGAATCATATAGTCAAGACATAAATCAGGGCTGCAGATCCAACTGCTGTATGGAATGTGCTTGTAAAAAATTATTATCTTGCCCATTGCACTGTATGTTTACTTTATTTGCACACAAATTAACAAGCTAAGTTAAACAAACTTCCTAAAGAAAATAGATCCTACAGCTGCACAGACTTAATGCCAACAGCACTAAACACACAGCTATTTCTTCACTTAAAAAACATATATATACACAATTATTTTATAGATATAAGGAAACTACCTGTAAATATAATGGAAAAATACATTCGAAAGCTTTTTATAAAACTTGGCACAATATTATTTGGACTGTAATAAAAATATTTATGAGAGAAAGACAAACGGATTCACAGAGAAACACAAATACCTCATGTCTAGTGCTTGTCTAAGTCCTGAAAAGAAAATCTGGTCTTTGGTATTGCTAAAGAGAGTTAGTTGCAAGTATCTACAGTCCCAGCTTACAGCTGCTGCTCCATCCTCTCTGACTGTGAATGCTTTACCACCACTTTGCACAGGCTTTGCTGGCTGCAAGTTTCCATAATAATTTGCAAACAGGCAGGGAAACAAAACCAGCTAAATGTGTCGTGTCTTCCTTCGAGGGCTCAATCATTAAATTCAATGGAAAATATTCTACTACCTTGTTCAGGCTGAATACAATAGAAAACATTGAAATTGATTAGCTGCCAAAGCAATGGTCACCCAGCAGTAAAAATTAACTATAACCATGGAACTGCCCCTGTGGCATTCCCTCCCTCACCCAGTGGGAAAAGTCATGACCAGCAGCTAGGAAGGCCATCCAGAAGTCATGGGTAACTGAGCCCTGAGCACACAGCACAAGTTGCCTGGGAGGTTTTCCATCCAGCATGTGAGACACTGTGCTGCTGCAGCTTCTGTATTGGAATTCAGACTGGACTTTGTCTCAGTGGGAGCTGAAACCAGTCCAAGCAGAGGCTGCAGATGCATTGATTCCATAAGCCCAGCATGACATCCAGGAACATTCCTGTTTCAACAGCAGTTGTGGTTTGTAACAGAGAATAATAGATCTTTTTTCTATATAAACCATGAATGCACAACATCCAATTGCATTTTTTTCCCTGCAAGGTAAATGCTTTTTGTCCACCCATTTTATCTTCACACTACATAAAAGCAAAACATTTTAAGCATGGGATATGGCTCTTTGAAGCAGTAAGGGAAATACACACCACAGTCTGCCTCTCTGGGCAATGCTGTTGTGTTTAGAGCTTGTTTCCCACTGGGTTTTCATTTGACCTGTCTCACATAGTCAACCTGCAGCAAAATTAGACTGACAGAAGAGCAGCTCCCACAGTGACACCCTTTTAGCTGCAACATCAGATCAAATCAACCTTTCGGTAAAAGGCTCTTTTCTAAGCATTTCTGGGTCAATGCAATACTGGACATTGTGGGGAACCAGTGAAACACAACAGACTTCAAATGGAAAATAAGTGCCTATAGTGTTAGCTGTTGACAAATGCCACAGACTTATTGGCTTCCAATACTCATCCCCTCCATCAAAAATAAAGACCTTATTATATCAAAATATTAGTTAGTGATATTTCCAATGGCAAAACCATAGATCTGATCCATAGTGTCTGAAAATGTTTGTAGAGACACTGTGCATCAAAAACCATACAGGTTACATCTGCTGACTGGATCATTCCCTTGTCACAGAATCATAGAATTTAAGGGTTGGAATGGACCTTACAGATCATCCAGCCCCAACCCCCTGACCTGGGCAGGGACACCTCCTCACTAGATCAGGTTGCTCAAGGCTCATCCAGCCTGGCCTTGAACACTGCCAGGGTTGGGGCAGCCACAGCCTCCCTGGGCAACCTGTGCCAGTGTCTCACCACCCTTAGAGTAAAAGACTTTTTTCTCACATCTAATCTAGATTTTCCCTCCTTCAGTTTGAAACTATTACCCCTTGTCCTATCATTGCAGTTCCTAACAAAGAGTCATAAAGAGATAGACACAGATTTTGGTGCATTATCCAAACAAGTTCTGGTTGCTGTACTGTCTTCTGTTCCTCAAGGAGTACTGTGCAATCTGTGCCATTTGATTTTAAGCAAGAAACAAGATAGCGAGTTTAGAACTATGAGTCTCTATAAATGTCCCAGAAGGAAAAATGATCAGAAATCCTTGTCCCAGCCTGAAAGTTCATCTGGAGGGATTCCCTCTTCAGGTGGATAGCTGTCAAAGTAGCTGTAATCAGTCGGTCCAGACAACTAGGACATTAAAGACACAAAGAAATGGTTGTTTCAGAAAGTATTTTTTCATTGATTATGCAGCATTTTTATTGCTACCAGTGTGGAAATGAAAGGCTAGTGTGATATAAATTACTTCTTTCAATGGATGCAATTCCTCATTCTTTAAAAGATAAACCTCCAGTAATTAAATTGCACAACAGAGCAATGGCATTAGCCTTCTTACACAAAAGCACTTCCCAAATGCTCTCAAACCCTAGATTTCACCCAAAGGCCTAAGTCAGTAAGAAAACATTTACAATTTACAGTCAGAAGGTAGTGACTCAAAGCAGATCTCACAATTAATTTTTGTTTCAAATTGAGGTCAAAGTGAGTTTCAAATTCTTTACCCTCAATCTTTTTTCATTTCAGGGCAGAGAGAAATAGGCCATTTAAAACCAGGAGCTTACTCAAGAGTGTGCTGTAACTCAATAGGAAGAAAATACATGAATTTGTACTCTGCACACTTATGTGAACTTAATAATGTGCCCATTACTGAGGCAAATATGGGGTTTTTTCAGCATTAGTTTCTGACCAAACACCATTTATTTTAGTAATGGTGAAAATCTAATGCAAAGTACTTAGGCAGAATAGTATTTCCATGACTTAACTGAATTTAAGTTATGTATTGCTTGTTGTCTCTCTTTCTTTCATTCAATTTTCCCTAAAAATGCTGATATGATTCAAATGCAGCTTGGGGAAATTTCACTATTGCCATCATTTCTCTGTAGCCAAGCTGAATCAGTAAAGCATCATGATGCTGAAAGCCAAAGCCAATACCTCTCTTTTTAAAGGCGACGTTAACTTCCTCACTTTCAGACTATCCCAGTTAAAACCACTCAACCACCTGATTAAAAAGAAATGAAAGACAGACAGGAAGAGACCAGAAGAGAAAGACAAGTTGTTTTCTGTCATTATACTCCAAACAGCTGAAAACTATGTGAACAAAGGCTGTAAGAAGTTTTTTTCATGACAACTCTTAGCCATGTAACAACACAGTTGTCAGAAGGAGGAAATTTGAGCACTGCCAGACAAGGCAGGAGGAGCTTCAGGACCACCAGACACATTGGCACTTCTCTACAGAGGAGATGCAGTGACAGGCAGTCTAAGACATGCATAATTACAGCCCTGCAAAGATTTGTGTGTCCCACTGGAATTCCACCCTCTTTACAGCATGAGAAGAGGGAGACAAGCAGAGAAGTCAAAGTGCTCTTTCCCCAAGCACAAACTACAGAGCTTAGAGACAGCTCAGATAAAAAGAGAGAGCAGAAAATGTTTAATCTACTCTCTTCATCAGAAGAAATAGGACAGAAACCTAATATTGCTCTGGAGCTCTAAACTACTTATTCTTAAAAAGCAACTTTTAAAGGGTCAGGAGGTCTGAAAGGCAGATGATGAACTGGCATTGATTTCTCTGAGAGCTGAATTAAATTCCTACATCAACAACCTGCAAGGAAACCAGTAAACAAGATGTTTCTAGATGATCATGCTGAGGATTCATGCTCATCTAACAGCTTGCTGCAGTTGCAATTATACTCAATAGCAACAGAGATCTCTCTTTATGGGTTTACCAGATTGGGTTCTAAAATATTAGATATATTTCAAATTAAAACCCCAATTTTCTTCTTGGCAGTCTCTTTTTGCTTACCTATGCTTCTTGATGTCATTAATTCCATTCCTCAAATTGCCTAATCTTTCTGTAGGGTTTTGCCTTAAAAAAAAAAAAAAAAGAGAAAGAGAAAAAGAATAAGAATTTATTAAATACTTCTGTATTTTAAAAAGAGCGTTTATAGGTCTCAGCTGCTTACATTTAACAGTTACATAGGGATGGAGCTTGCTCAGAACATGTGGTGTCTTAAGGAGATATAAGAAGAAGTTGCTCACTGCTCCTTTCTTTAGAGGATGTAACAAGCTTCTAGGAAGCCAAAACAGTGTCACTTGGCTGTGGGAAGCAGCAAAGGGAAATCAACTGGCTAAATTTTAGTTGCACATCTTTTTTTTTTCCTTGCCCAGCAGGTCTGGTCATGAGTTACAAAAGGAGGCAGATCCTAAAAGAGCTCAATTTATCAAACCTCAGGCTTTGCCACAAACTGATCCTCCTACCTGCAGAGTTTACGGATCAAGTCCTCAGGTCGCCTTGTAATTATTTTAGGAAAATCCAGCTTTTCAATGCCTTTGAGGATCAAATTATATGTCATCATTTGATCAGCCCCAGAGAATGGTGGACTAGAAAAAGAAAGCAACACTAATAAATGGAATGGCTGGCAAGAACAGGTGTGGCCATTACTTATTAAAGCAAATATTTGAGAATATGGAAATAAACCCCATGTTCCTAGTTTTAGAGCCTTCACCCTTTCAGCCTGTTTAAGGTATTAGAAAGTATGAAGTTGAGAAGCTTCCTGTAGGTGCCAGGGAAAATGCATGACCATGTGTGTCTCTCTAAGCCAGCTCTGCCTCCAATCTAACTCCGAGAAGGTTCCACCTTGTGTTACCATTGAGAATTCACAAAGGGTTGTGAGGGGAGTGTGCATGGAGGTAAAGAATGAGCCCTGCTTACAGTTCACCTACCCCACTGTACCCCATCAACCACTCAAGGGGAAAAGAACAGTCTGTTGTCAGTTGTTCCTCACAGAAAACATCATCATCAGTTAAAGGAGCTCTGCACCAACCAATTAGAGCTTGGGCCTGGTCCTTTCCTTGGATGGATAAGCCAGAATTGAGAAAATGTACCACACTTCATCTGTGACATTTCTGAAGGGATGGAAGGTAAGACATGCAAGGAGGCAAAAATAAGTATCATTTTGCACGTCTATTTACTGATGGGAAACCCTCCAAAGTGTTTATTTTAAAAATAACCTTGAAAAGGTTTCTAAAAACAAACAAGGTAAGAACTTAGAGCAGGAGGTACTTACCTGCCAGTAAGGAGTTCATACACCAGAATCCCAAGGGACCAAAAATCCACACTGAAGTCGTGGCCTTTACTCAGAATTACTTCAGGGGCAACATACTCAGGGGTTCCACAAAACGTCCAGGTTTTCTGCCCTGATCCAATCTTCTTTGCAAATCCAAAATCAACCTGATCAAAATCAACATATGCTGCATAATGCAGAGGTGTTTTGCACTGGGAAGTCTTAAGGTCTTAATTGCTTCCTTATCCCTTGCAAAGATCTCAGAGTTCCTACTTGACAGCTAAAACAACTACACAGTGTAGCTGTGAAGGAGAGAGAAGTAGTTCCCCTGGATTACCCAGTGTTATAAACCAGATCCATTTATTCTCACAATTCTCTTCTAAATTATTTTCCTTTTGGAGAGAACAATCCATGCTTTCCTTGAGGACATGAGATTTACTGCCCTTGGAAAACAATGGATTGCTCACTGTCCTCAGGGTGGTTATTTCATGTTCTTTGAAGGGAATTCTTGTTGCACTTTTCGTGGTAAGAGTCAAGTATGGCAGGAGTTCTTTACTGTGTTCCCTCTCTACAAAGAGAGGGAACCTATGATCGTAGAATGAACAACAAATGTAGAACCTATGAATGCTTGATGCTGGACAGGGAGGCAATTCTGCACCTGGGAAATGTAGTTCCTGCCTTGACATTAAAACTAGCTGCTGGGAGAACTTATTTTGAAGTTTATGCTGTGGCAACAGCTCTCAGAGACTGCAAATCCCCAGTTTGTCTGCAATGGCTTTCCAATGCCTTTGTTTCTTATTGTGCAACAAGAAGACTCTTCTCTACTGAAGCACAAGAGTTATTAAACTCCAGGATTCTGGTACTATAATTACATGTTGTCTATTTATATCCCCATGGCAAGGAAACAGGATGCAAGCACAAAAGGATAAGATTACAAAAGGATAACATTACAATGGATTACATCTTACCAGTTTTATATATCCTTCAGCATCCAAAATTAAGTTTTCTGGCTTCAGGTCTCTGTAGATAATTCCTATGTGATGTAGATAGTCAAAAGCCTCTGTCACACACCCAACACAGAACTTGGTGGTAAATTCATCAAAGCTGCCTCTGGAAAAAAAAAATCAACATATAATTTTAGGGGTTGGAATGGACCTTAGAGATCATCTAGTCCCAACCCCTGCCCTGGGCAGGGACACCTCCCACCAGAGCAGGTTGCTCAAGGCTCATCCAACCTGGCTGTGAACACTGCCAGGGCTGGGGCATCTCTTACCTCCCTAGGCAACCTGGGACAGTGTCTCACTACCCTCACAGGGAAAAACTTTTTCCTAATATCTAACCTCATTTTCCCTTCTTTCAATTTGTCCCCACTGCCCCTTGTCCTGTCACTGCAGTTCCTAACACAGAGTCCCTCTCCAGCTCCCCTGTAGGCCCCCTTAAAACAATCACTATCCTTACAGACAATTAAGTTCTAAAAATGCCTCACTTGTTAGCTGGTAATATATAACACTCAGAATATCAACTAAACTGAATCAAAGGTCTTCTCAATGGACAGCCCTTGAGCAGAGAACCTAATCAGTAGACCTGTGGAGCTGATGGGTGATTTAAAAGGGCAATGTTACACTCTGTCTGCTGTTACCTGTCTCTCAGCAGGCTCCACAATTCCCCTCCAAGACAAGCCTCCAGCAGCATGTAAACATACTTGTTGTCCTTGAATGTGCGATAAAGTCTGTGGGGACAAACAGCAGCAAATTATGCAAAACGAAACAAAATGCAACACTTGCAATGCTTTTTCTCCAGAACTCATATATGCCAAACCTCACTATTAATAATGCTGTCCAGTGGGTCAACTGGGGGTCAATGTTCAAGAAAACCTTATGGTCAACTTACTTTACAACGAATGGAGAACATATCTGCTCGAGGATTTTCTTCTCAGAGTAGATATGCTCTTGCTGTTTGGTGTCCACTACATGTTTCTTCTTTATACACTTCATGGCAAAAGCCATGTTCTCATTTTTCACTTTAACCTGTGAATAGAAATGATGAATACATATGAGGCAAAGAAAAAATGTTTTAGCAATCTGTTCTCAACAGCTACACTGATATCCATCTTGTTCAACACAGCACAGGACTGAAAGTGATGGCTGCAACAAGGGACAAATTCCAGATTTTCTGCAGAACTGTTTTGCATGATTTTAAGTCAAGCATCAGATGTTTTTAGCTTCCCAGCTCCCACCTTGAATGTGAAATGTGCCCTTTGTTCATTTTATGCATACAAAATAGCAGCACTTTGGATAGGTACTACATATTATAATGAGTTTATACCACAGTGGGTCCTAATTTCATAGAATCATAGAATTTTAGGGGTTGGAATGGACCTTAGAGATCATCTAGTCCCAACCCCTGCCCTAGGCAGGGACACCTCCCACCAGAGCAGGTTGCTCAAGGCTCATCCAACCTGGCTGTGAACACTGCCAGGGTTGGGGCATCTCCTACCTCCCTGGGCAACCTGGGACAGTGTCTCACCACCCTCACAGGAAAAAACTTTTTCCTAATATCTAACCTAATTTTCCCCTCCTTCAATTTGTACCCATTGCCCCTTGTCCTGTCCCTGCAGCTCCTAACACAGATCCCTCTGCAGCTTCCCTGGAGCCCCTTCAGCTCCTGGAAGGTGCTCTGAGGTCTCCACACAACCTTCTCTTCTCTAGGCTGAACAGCCCCAACTTCCTCAGCCTGTCAAATAGGGGAATTTCAATTTAAGATTCCTAAACACCAGCATAATACACAAGAACAAAAACCAGAGGCAGTTTAGGAAAAAAGCATACAAATTATTTTGCATTGCACTGAAATATTATCCAATATGCAATAAAAAGATGGACGTTAAAACTAGGCTTCTCAGAAACCCTGGAAGCAATTATTTGTGTTCTACAGCTGGAGGACAACTCAATTTTTAGCTTATTATTCAGGTGATGCTGTAGAATTTCCAGTGTGGAAATTATTTTTTTTTCTGAAGCATGAATTGGAATAAAGCAATTGATGCTCTAACTACTGTAAAGCATTATTGACTTCACTAAAATCACACAGTCTCCTTTAATTTACCATTACCTTCAGCAGCCTGACTAAAACTGCTCATGGCTTTTAGAGATGTTTGCTCCTCAGGCAGAGGAGAGTGGAATTTAAGACTTCAGGCTAATGAGGCTCTTGGCATGCCAGAAACACAGCTCTTCACGCTAGTGAATATGACTCAAAAGAGCCATTACAAATTGTTGGAAATTTTGTATTCAACACAGCTCGGAGAGAGCTCACACTGGTTATAGTTGCTGTGGGGCACACTGAAGCAATTCTAGCAACACAGACTTTGTGATGCTATGGACACAACTTCAGGTCCAGGCAGATTCTTGGGAAAACATTTGCAATTCAGGGAACACAAGACAGGTAGGCACATCTGTAAACTCCACATGCACAAACTGATGACATGTCTAGTGACCAGGAGGACACTTTGAACAGCAGGAGGTGAAGACACATGAGAATGGATTTGCTTCTTTAAACATCCAAGTCCTGAAATTTTTTTAGCTATGCATTGCTTTACATAGAATTATTTCTTCCTCAGAGGCACAAGCACATAGAATATTAAAACCTTTCACATTATTCAGTGGCTAAATCAATCATCTGAGACAGAGAAGTACTTGAATATGTTTAAAACAATGTCTTACAAGCTCAACCCTTCCGAACCCACCAACACCCAGAGTTGTGACAACTTCTAAATTCTGGAATGGGCAAGGAGGGAGCTGGGATACTTTCTCCTGCAGCTCTATCATCTCCAAAGACACCTCTTTGGTCAACTGTCCACAGAAGGATCTTCCTCTGCATTAAGAAAATGAACATAGGTTAGTGCTCTTCCTTGTCATTACTTTTATGAAAGGAAAAGGAGGAAAGGAAGAGGAGGAAAGGAAGAGGAGGAAAGGAAGAGGAGGAAAGGAAGAGGAGGAAAGGAAGAGGAGGAAAGGAAGAGGAGGAAAGGAAGAGGAGGAAAGGAAAAGGGAAAAAGGAAAGCTTTCTTATTTCCTAAAAATCTTAAGTCTCTTTTATGCAGAAGCACTTTCTTTCTGGACATCCTATGGCAGTAAACTAGAAGCAAAATGCTACTGAAGATCACTGAGTACAACTAACAGTGTTTTTAGCAAAAGCTGATCCACGGTGAGATTCCTATTCATGCAGTCAGCTGCAAGACTTTGGGCAGTCCCAAGGTGGAGAACCAATGTTTGCAGGACTGTGTACCAGCTCCAGCAGAATGATCAGACATAAGAATGCAGCTATGTTTCTAAACAGAAATAAAACACATTCTGCTAATCTTCCAGTAGTGCTCAGGTTGAAATCAGAGACAGATAAACTAAAAGTCTGACCCACAGCTAAAAACAAGCGTCAATACCATCAGTGCTACACGGAAACATTAAAAACGAACAGTTTCTTTTATGCCTGCTTATTTCTTTTTGAAACTACAATTAGTCTTTTGCACAGTAATACAGTTTCAGTAACTCAATCAGGAGTTAAAGTTGACCTTTAGGGGTTTTACCGGTCAAAGAATTCACCATTAGAATGCAAAATTTATTTGAGCACAATGTCACTTCTTTTCTGTGCTTGGTTTTCTTGGGATAGAATGAAGTCAATATACTGAGATTCTATGTCATTTTTGTTTCAGACAAAGTTTCTTGCACTCCATAAGCATATCCAGACTGTTTTATTACAATGACTGCTGCCATTCCTAGGGGTTCAACTCCAACTACCATGCACGATTTTACTTACCTGTCTGTCACTCTTTCTAAACTGATTTTCTACTAAAGATGCACCTAACAAATGATCTGACTTACTTTGCATGTCGCTTTTCGTCTGCCTGGGCCAGATTAGCCACATAACCTTCCAGGTAAGTTTGGAGCTCCTCATAAGTTCCTACAGTTTGATTAAATGTCCTAAAAACATGAACGAAACATTATAAATTGCTGAACATTTGAGTCATGACTTAGACTAAGCTTGACATAATCATTTTGACAGTATTTTGAGAGCTCTGAAGAGGCAGTTAAGAGCTGAAGTACCAAACTTTTGCCAGAGGGTAGGAGGACAGAGTGCCTGATATCCGCATGTCGTTTCATGTTATGTGCAAACAATTTGGAGCAGCCTGGGTGTACTTGGGATCCTACATGGACTATGGTTATTAAGTGTGGTTCCACCATCCCTACCACAGGAACCAGCTTGGTGTGAGTCCAGGCAATCAGACCTGTCCCAATGGATAGAACCCTTGGTGCAGAGATTGAGATCACCTCTTCAACTTCACAGGTGAATAACAGCACTGTAGGAAGAAAAGACTTAGAATAGACTAGTTCTGTTGGAAGGGACTTACAACAACCATCTGGTCCAACTGCCTGACCACGTCAGGGTGAACCAAGCTGAAGTATGCTGAAGGATGGAGGTTGTCCACATTTCAAGCAAGCATCTTTACAGCTAGCCTTGAGAATGCAGCTTTGCTGTTTCACTTTCCACTGGGAGCTTCCTTTCTTATAAATTCCATCTGTTCCATTTTTTCCACTTTAAGAAGAGCAAAATTGGCCTCTAGCTGACAAAAATAGGAATTTTGCTGCATGTCCCTCTTGACAAAAGGACATGCTGAAACAAGGGACATACTTTTGTTGTTCCTTGAGTGGATGAATAGCACTGAAGTGTGAAACATCACCACTGCAAGCAGAGAAAGACAAGAATAACTCTGAACTGCTCTTACACTCCTGTGCTGCAGCACCTGCTGTCAGCCCCTCGGCATTAGCATTCCAAAAGCACAACCACTCGTCAGGATCCACTGAAGAAAACATTGTGATTGTTGCCTACAGTGAAGTCATATTAACCTCCTGGAAGTCTCGTATTGACCTACAGAAGGAGGATGAAGTCCCTCATTAAGCTGTAGTACTTACTCTCTGTCTATGACAAGACACTCCACGTTGTATTCATCTGCAATAACGTTCGCAGATCTGACATCGTCACTAGGAATTGAAACATATTAGAAAATTTCAGAAGCATTCAAAGTACCTCCCACTGCATTCATGAACCAAATATGAAACTACAGCATTTTAGTAGTCATCATTATTGTCTAGCACAGTATTTGTTCCAGTTTCAATGGGGTTTGAATCATGGCATCCTTTAGCAACCTTCCAAGAAATTAGGGTGAAATGTAATCAGCGCTGCATCAGGATTTACTACTTGTTTCTGAAATGATTCTCAGATCTAAGACATTCCAGAAACAAAATGCTTCCCTACTCAATCACCCACATAAATATGCATTGTGTGACTCTTTGCCTCTGTTTCTTACTGTCACGGGCACAGGAACAGCAGCTCAGACCAGTCATGATTGGATCTCATCCACTGTAAAGTCATATAAAGCTTAGCACAAACTTTCATCACAGCTTTTACTGAAATATAAACAATGAGCCACAATGCAGAGAGGACCAGCATTTGACTTCTACAGGGAAAACCAAAGACAGATGACAGTGTATACTTTCAAGTTCTCTCTGCAAAAGACCAAAACATGCAGACAAATTCAGTCACTACTTTCACCTTTACCATCAAAACACATATTATATTATATACAAGTTCTATAATCCATACATAGGGGTAGGATAATCGAAATACTACACATCATGAATCAGATGATGTGAACTGACCTAATAAGAGCCTTTTCTCCAAAATAATCTCCTTTATGTAGATTTTTAATCAGCTGAGGCTGTGAGTGATCTGCTGTACTCTGGGTAACTATCACCTGGAAAGTACAGGAAGAAAAATTGAGCAAGGTAAAAGTTCGAAGTATTGCATGGCTTTCCCTTCTTTTCTGTGTATTTCATTTATGTCTTAAAACACTTCAGTTCCCACAGGCTTTTTGTCTTCCCAGCTGAACAGACAGCCTCCAGCAGCATTAACTAACACTTCCCTTCATGGGATTCTGCTTCCACAGTAACTCACGTTCTGCTGATGCTCACACCCATTAGCAAAAACCAAACCAGGATACCTCCAGACACAGACACATTTTGGAAACGTTGCTGGAAGTTTATTGATGAAAATTCTCCTGATTTGAGTCCTGTGTCAGCCTCCATTGTAACAGCTGATGGATAAAAGCTGCTGCCTTGCACCTCTGGGACTAACAAATTGAAGGAACAGACTGAGTCACCTAGGCCATTCTCCATTAAGTCTAGGACTCCACTACTTTTTAGATATTTCACAAATCTATGTTTTGCCCATTAGATATTGATACACCTAGGACAAGACATAGGATCATATCTCATTTACAAAAAGAACTGACTTTACATCTTTGCTGCAGTGTCAAGAGGCTTCAGGACATACTTCAATGACATAAGGAGAATAGGGTAACATGGGTTCATTGTGAATGCAAAATTAGACTCCCTGAACCTCTGAAACACTGCTCCAGGCTTTTATCCTGGTATTGTGGACTTAACAGCATCCTCAAAAACACTCTGCACAGATTTTACTGAACACCACACTTCTCAAGGTAGCTTTTCAAATACAAGTATTTGTACATGTTACTTTGTAAGTTAGCTTTATTATATCTTACCTTTCCACTTGCTATTATAAAGAAGGTGTTTCCTGCTTCTCCTTCCCGAATAACATAATCTCCCTTGTCATAGTACTCCTGTTGGAGGCAGTGAGAGACAATAGCGTCCAATAAATCGTTTAACCAATTTGAAAGTTCTGATTAGGGGATAACAATAGAAAAATATCAAAAGCAAAGAGGCTGAGGGAGCTGGGGTTGTTTACACCAATTTGAAAGTTCTGATTAGGGGAAAACAAGGGAAAAATATCGAAAGCAGAGAGGCTGAGGGAGCTGGGGTTGTTTAGCCTGGAGGAGGCTCAGGGAAGACCTTACCACCCTCTACAACTCCCTGACAGGAGGTTGGAGTCAGGTGGGGGTTGCTCTCTTCTCCCAGGCAACCAGCAGCAGGACAAGAGGGCACAGACTCAAGCTCTGCCAGGGGAGGGTTAGGTTGGAGATCAGGAAGAGATTTTTTACAGAGAGAGTGCTCAGGCATTGGAATGTGCTGCCCAGGGAGGTGGTGGATTCACCATCCCTGGAGGTTTTCAAGCTGAGACTGGATGTGGCACTTAGTGCCATGGTCTAGTAATGACGGTAGGGTTGGACTTGATAATCTTGGAGGTCTTTTCCAACCTGGTTGATTCTATGAAAATCCCATTTCCAAAAGTAATTTTGGGCTTGACACCTCAGTGGGAATGCCTAAATCATCTACTGCAAACTACCAAGGCACCAAATCTTCTGTGTCTGCTAATGAACCCTGTCTTCATTACCTGATTGTTCAACTTTCAGTTAAGCATTTTTCCATGTTAACTTTCAGTTTTTTGATCTGTTCCTCAAAGCAAAAAACCTGTGTTTCCTGCAAGTTGTCCCTTGCCACTGCTTAGGATACTGCTGTGCTAAGGCCATTTGCCATTTCACACAATCAACACCATGATCTCCTCCTCCCCCTTGTGCTGGGGCCATGCATCACTCTTCTGCCTCCTACAACTAGTTTGGGCTGAGGTTCTTTGCTTTCTTTTCTTTCTCCATCTG